AAGGTTTCTGGCGAGCAAAAAAAAAGGTAAGTCACATGATCGTGTGTGTGTGTTTCGGTTCTAATTTTCCGCACAGATTTTTCTCTGCAAGCGTGCCATGCACGTTATCCCTGTAAACACCTAGGCATTTGTGGACTTGTTGCAAGCTCTGTTGTCGCCGTTCATGCTGTGGTCATTACCGTTCCTTCCCGCCTTTGTCAACCAACGTTCATGCGGCCACTGTCCCGTTCCTTCTGCTGTTGTCATTGTTCTTACCTGATTGGTATCAAATTCGGCACCACTTGCTCCTGCGTCGGCGTCTGGCACAATGATCGAGTACAAATCATCGCCAACGACCAAGGAAACAGGACGACGCCATCCAACATCTCCTTCTCTGAGCGTCTTAACGAAGACGCTGCAAAAAATCAGTTTTCTACGGACTCTATAAGCACGTAAGTCTACTTTTCCTTCTTTTGACGATCACATTTGATTCTAATTTTTTCAGCAGGCTCTTTGATGCCAAGCGCCTCATCAGCCGCAACATTCCGATGATGACTGAGGTGCAATCAGACATCAAGCACTTCCCCTTCCAAGTCATCATACAAGGGTCACCAAAGCCTTACTGCTAGGGTCCAATGTACCGAGGAGAGGATCAAAGATTCGTACGTTCATTTCTTTTATATTTTCCTAATTTCCAGACCTCTGACCATAAACTTTTCTAGTTGCCTGAAGGAATATTTCATCCATGTCCTCACGAAGATGACGGAGAACCGGCTGAGTCCTACCTTGGTGGAAACTGTTTCGAGCGCCGTCGTCACCTCACCGTCCCTACCTACTTCAACGACTCCCAACGGACAAGCCCACCAAGGATGCCCCCGGTACTATCGCTGGTCTCAACGTCCTCCGTATTATTAACGAACCCACCGCTGCCGCCATCGCTTACGGTTTTGACAAGAAGATCTCCAGCGAGCGAACGTTCTCATCTTCGATCTTGGTGGAGGAACGTTTGATGTCTCTCTTTTGACTATTGAGGAGGGTATCTTCGAGGTCAAGGCCACTGCAGGTGATACCGACTTGGGAGGTGAGGATTTCGACAATTGTTTCGTCAACCACTTCGTACAAGAATTCAAACGCAAGCACAAGAAGGGTAGTCACATGATCGCATCCCTTTGTTCTCCGATTCTAATTTTTCTTTGCAGATCTTTCCTCCAACCCTCGTGCTCTCCATCGTCTACACACTGCCTGTGAGCGTGCCAAGCATACTCTTTCTCTTTGAGGGCGTTGACTTCTACACTTCCTTCACCCGTGCCAGTTTCGAGGAGCTCTGCCAGGACCTCTTCCGCAGCACTCTCGACCCCGTCGAGAAAGTCCTTCGCGACTCAAAGATCGACAAGTCCAATGTCCACGAGATTGTCTTTGTCGGCGGCTCTACCCGTATTCCCCGTATCGTGGAGCTTGTGTCTGACTTCTTCAACAGCAAGGAGCCAACAAGTCCATCAACCCTGATGAGGCTGTTGCATACGGCGCCGCTGTCCAGGCCGCCATTCTTTCCGGCGATACCTCAGAGAAGACCAGGATCTCCTCTTGCTCAACGTCGCCCCTCTTTCCATGGGTATCGAGACTGCCGGTGGTGTCATGACTGCCCTCATTAAGCGTAACACCACTGTGCAGACGAAGAAGTCAGAGACCTTCTCTACGTACTCCGACAACCAGCCCGGTGTGCTCATCCAGGTCTTCGAGGGTGAGCGTGCCCGTACGAAGGACCACAACTTGCTCGGCAAGTTTGAACTCTCTGGTATTCCCCCAGCTCCTCGTGGTGTCCCTCAATTTGAAGTTATCTTCGACATCGACGCCAACAGTATTCTCAACGTCCCTGCGTCTGACAAGTCGACCGTTAAATCTAACCGCATCACCATCACCAACGACAAGGGTCGCCTGTTGAAGGAGGAGACCGAGAGGATGGTTGACGAAGCCGAGACGTACAAGGTATGTGGATTTTCTCATTTAACTTTATTACCTGATGCTAACTTTCTTTCCTATAGCTGAGGATGAGGCTGCCGCTTCACGCATCCAGGCTAAGAATGGTCTAGAATCTTAATGCCCACAACCTTCGTAACTCCATCAACGACGAGAAGCTTGCCGACAAGTTCGAGCCTGCGGACAAGACCAAACTCACTACCGCTGTCGACGAAGCCATCTCATGGCTTGACAACTCTCAGGAGGCGTCGAAGGAGGAGTACGAGGAGCGACAGAAGGAGCTTAAATCCGTTGCCAAGTAAGTTTTATTGTCACTGTTTGCTTTCAAACCAGACGCTGACCCTCACTTTTCTAGCCCCATCATGCAAAAACTCTATCGACGCCTACACCTCTGGTTATTGCCAAGTGACGTTCTGCGTTCTGTCGTCAGGCTTGTAATAAAGTGGTCAAGTATCTTGGTTGTAATGCCAGGAAACACAAGTTCGATTCCTGCTATGTCCATATCTTTTGGTAAGGTCATGCCAAAGGCAGTAGCCCATAATGACTGGCCAGCGTCGTGACTCACAATGCTGGCTAACATGCTGGGATATTGTGTTTGGATTGATCTTTTGGCGTATACTTGGACTATTTACGTAGAAGGGGTAAGTCACATGATCGTGTCCTTTGTTTTGAATATCTGTTTTTCATTTTCCGTTCAGATGTATCTGCGAGCATGTCGGGCAGGTTTTCTCTTTGTTCACCTGGATGTTAGTGGGACCGTTTCAAGTACCATCGTCACCATCCATGCTGCAGTCGTCACCGTTCCTGCGCCGTCGTCGTGTTGGCTCCGCCGCCGCCGCCGTTCCTCCCACCTTCGCCATTGTTCCTGTCTTATTATCGGAGACGCAGCAAAAAATCAGGTTGCTATGAACTCTATAAACACGTAAGTCTACTTTTCCTTCTTTCGACGATCACATTTGATTTTAATGTTCTTGATAAGGTCTTCGACGCCAAACGCCTCATCAGCCGCAAATTCGACGATGCTGAGGTGCAATCAGACATCAAGCACTTCCCCTTCAAGTTCGTTAACAAGGGCACCAAGCCTTACGCCAGGGTCGAGTACCGAGGAGAGGACAAAGAATTCGTATGTTCATTTCTTTAATTTTTCTCATTTCCAGACTCTGACCATAAATTTTCTAGTCGCCTGAAGAAATTTCATCCATGGTTCTCACTAAAGATGAAGGAGACGGCCGAGTTTTATCATGGCGGAACCATTTCCAGCCTCGTTGTCACCGTCCCTACCTATTTCAACGACTCCCAACGACAAGCCACCAAGGATGCCGGTACTATCGCTGGTCTCAACGTCCTCCGTATTATTAACGAACCCACCGCTGCCGCCATCGCTTACGGTCTCGATAAGAAGATCTCCAGCGAGTGGAACGTTCTCATCTTCGATCTTGGTGGAGGAACATTCGATGTCTCTCTTTTGACTATTGAGGAGGGTATCTTCAAGGTCACGGCTACGGCTGGTGATACCCATTTGGGAGGTGAGGATTTCGACAATCGTCTCGTCAACCACTTCGTACAAGAACTCAAACGCAAGCACAAGAAGGGTAAGTCACATGATCGCATCTCTTTGTTCTCCGATTCTAATTTTCATTTACAGATCTCGAACTCTCTGGTATCCCCCCAGCTCCTCATGGTGTCCCTCAAATTGAGGTCGTTTTTGACATCGATGCCAACGGTATTCTCGACGTCTTTGCATCCGACAAGTTGACTGGCAAATCTAACCGCATCACCATCACCAACGACAAGGGTCGCCTGTCGAAGGAGGAGATCGAGAGGATGGTTGACGAAGCCGAGACGTACAAGGGTATGTGGTATTTCATATGTATCTTCATTACCTGATACTAACTTTCTTTCCTATAGCTGAGGATGAGGCTGCCGCTGCACGCATCCAGGCTAAGAACGGTCTAGAATCGTATGCCTACAACCTTTGTAACTCCATCAACGACGAGAAGCTTGCCGACAAGTTCGAGCCTGCGGACAAGACCAAACTCACTACTGCCGTCGACGAGGCCATCTCATGGCTTGACAACTCTCAGGAGGCATCGAAGGAGGAGTACGAGGAGCGACAGAAGGAGCTTAAATCCGTTGCCAAGTAAGTTTCCTTGTCACTGCTTGCTTTCAAACCAGACGTTGACTCTCATTTTTCTAGCCCCGTCATGCAAAAACTCTATCGACGCCTACACCTCTGGTTATTGCCAAGTGACTAAACGTGGAAAATGCTCTGCGTTCTGTCGTCGGGCGTGTGATGGAGTGGCCAAGCATCTTGGTTGTAATGCCAGGTAACGCAGGTTCGATTCCTGCCATGTCCGAGAGATCATTCCAGATACAGTACCCCATAACGACTGGCCAGCGTCGTGACTCACAATGCTGGCTAACATGCTGGGATATTGTGTTTGGATTGATCTTTTGGCGTATACTTGGACTATTTACGTAGAAGGGGTAAGTCACATGATCGTGTCCTTTGTTTTGAATATCTGTTTTTCATTTTCCGTTCAGATGTATCTGCGAGCGTGCCGTGCAGGCCTTCTCGTTGTTCATATGGATGTTAGTGGGACCGTTTCAAGTACCATCGTCACCATCCATGCTGCAGTCGTCACCGTTCCTGCGCCGTCGTCGTGTTGGCTCCGCCGCCGCCGCCGCCGTTCCTCCCACCTTCGCCATTGTTCCTGTCTTGTTATCGGAGACGCAGCAAAAAATCAGGTTGCTATGAACTCTATAAACACGTAAGTCTACTTTTCCTTCTTTTGATGATCACATTTGATTTTAATGTTCTTGATAAGGTCTTCGACGCCAAACGCCTCATCAGCCGCAAATTCGACGATGCTGAGGTGCAATCAGACATCAAGCACTTCCCCTTCAAGTTCGTTAACAAGGGCACCAAGCCTTACGCCAGGGTCGAGTACCGAGGAGAGGACAAAGAATTTGTATGTTCATTTCTTAATTTTTCTCATTTCCAGACTCTGACCATAAATTTTCTAGTCGCCTGAAGAAATTTCATCCATGGTCCTCACGAAGATGAAGGAGACCGCTGAGTCCTACCTTGGTGGAACTGTTTCTAGCGCCGTCGTCACCGTCCCTACCTACTTCAACGACTCCCAACGACAAGCCACCAAGGATGCCGGTACTATCGCTGGTCTCAACGTCCTCCGTATTATTAACGAACCCACCGCTGCCGCCATCGCTTACGGTCTCGATAAGAAGATCTCCAGCGAGTGGAACGTTCTCATCTTCGATCTTGGTGGAGGAACATTCGATGTCTCTCTTTTGACTATTGAGGAGGGTATCTTCAAGGTCACGGCTACGGCTGGTGATACCCATTTGGGAGGTGAGGATTTCGACAATCGTCTCGTCAACCACTTCGTACAAGAATTCAAACACAAGCACAAGAAGGGTAAGTCACATGATCGCATCTCTTTGTTCTCCGATTCTAATTTTTCTTTGCAGATCTCTCCTCCAACCCTCGTGCTCTCCGTCGTCTACACACTGCCTGTGAGCGTGCCAAGCATACTCTTTCTCTTCGAGGGCGTTGACTTCTACACTTCCTTCACCCGTGCCCGTTTTGAGAGGTTCTGTTAGCACCTTTTCTGCAGCACTCTTGAGCCTGTCAAGAAGGCTCTTCGCGACTTGAAGATCGACCAATCGAATGTATGCGAGATCGTCCTGGTCAGTTGCTCTACTGTATCCTCATTTTCCTTTCGACAGGCCTGTTTAGAAGGAGTTGAGCAGGTTGGTGGGATGCCAGGGGACACAGGTTCGATTCCTATCATGGATCATGCTAAAGGCAATGTCCTACAATACAATGTGGGGCATTGTCTTTGGCATGATCGTTTATATAGTTCAGACCTTACAGACTAAATGGAATGATTATCGCGGTTTTTACTTTTTTATTGTCCATTATAGCGATGCGTGATTCGGTAATCAATTATGCCAGGAATTATCGTGTTCGGTTTTCGTATTTATGCGCTAATTTGGGCTGTGATCATGGCAGTTTGTTTCTGGTTTGAATGCCGGCAAAGCTCTCACGAGCAGGGGTGGTTGGTTGGTATCTTGTACCTGAACCACAACCGTCTGTTTGTCTTGTCATTGTCCTCTTCACCTACAAACCAATGAGCCGCATGATCCTGGTTCCCACCCCCACCAAAGCCAGGAAACGCCGAGCTCCAAGTCCAGCCCTTGAAGTCCATGAAGACGTGAGAGGCACTGTTTTCACACTTGACAATGGCCGGGTGACGCGGAAGGAGACAGTCGCGGCCAAGCGTGCTAAGGTGAACTTTCGCCCCTCCGATGTACGTGACCCTTTGGGTGAATGGAAACCCACAGAGAGACCTGAGCGCGTCTCGGTTCCAGTGGACAACCTCCCATCCGTGTCGTTGTCCGACATCCATGCCGTTGGTGGCAGTGATGATGAATTGGACGGACATGACAACGAAGATATGTATCGCAAGGCTGGCCAGCAGGTCGGTGTGGAAGCGCAACACCACGCTCCGTATGTACGTGCCTTTCTAGACCTTCCCTCATTGAATATTAATTTTTTTTTCCCCTTTGGCCAGGTGGATCCAATGGAACAGTGGAAGGCGACGACAATGAATTTGTGGAGTGATATTCTATTTACCCACCATGCGTACCAAAGCTGTAAATCGTGCCCCTCGTCGAGTACGGCTGAAGTCTTCAAGTGTACGTCATGTGATGACCTGGTTGAGTGTAGGACCTGCCTCCTCAACTCTCACCAAGCTCATCCATTGCATGTCATTCAAGTATGTCTCTTCTATGATGCTTTCAGCAATGTCTGATTTTTTGCGTAGCGGTGGGCGGGTGACTTTTGGAAGGCAGATACTCTTGCAAATGTTGGTATTATCTACCACCTTGGTCACTTTGGACGGCTTTGTCCCTTCCCGTCAGAACCAACGAAGCTTGTGGTGATGGACATTAATGGAGTCCATCAAGTGGAGGTTTGCAGCTGCACTTGCCGCCCAATGTCATTCTCTGAGGAGCTCTTACGCCATGGCTGGTACCCTGCGACAGTGAGCAAGCCACAAACGGTGGTAACCCTTCGTTGTCTTGATTTCTACCGGTCGTTATGTGTTGTGGGTAACGTGAACGTACACGATTTCGTTCGCTCTCTGGAAAATTTTACTCATCGTGGAGGGCGCGACTGGGTGCCTGTAAGTTCCTCGGTGACTAATTCTCTGAATGCGACTGAAAATTCATGACAGGATCGTTACAAAGCCTTCATGCGCGTGGTACGTCAATATAGCTTCCTCCAGCGCTGTCGACGATCTGGCAGAATCCATGAACCAGGTGGAATTGGATCCACCAAGCACGGTCAAGTTGCTGTCCAATGTTGGGCTTGCCCTCGCGAGGGAGTCAATCTTCCTCAAGGTTGGGACATGGTTGACAAGAAATATAGGTTGGAGTTTTATCATATGCCTTTGATGCCTGGTTTACCTTTCTCTAGATATCTATTCATGCTCATCTTAGCAATGGATGCTAATTTTCGCCTGAAGAGTCGCATTAGAAAGAATTCGAAGGGAACAGTTCAATTAGGAGACGGATGGGGCTTTTTTGTTCCTTCCAAGGAATATCGAGAGTACCTTTCACAGGCTATCAATGATGAGGATGTGAGTACACTGCTTTTCAATTAATTATTTTCTTGATATTTGCGACTAGGTTTCTAACTGTGTGGCGTTTGCTGCTTTGGTGATGGCCAATTTGAAATTTTGCAAAGGTTTGCGCGTCAGTGGCATTGGTGGCGTCTTTTGTTCTTGCCATGGTATTCCTCGCCCGAATGGAGTGGGTGATCTTCAGAAGGGCGAATGGCAAGGCCTCCCTTGGATTTTTCTAACGACAGCTGACGTTTTTGTAGATACAGTAACATGGACTTCATATTTTGGTCTTCAATCATATCCATTAACCTGCTTCTCATCCTACTCAGCTACGATGTGGGGTGCCAATATCAAAAGACGTTTCATACGCGAAAACAACATTTGCCATCCCACCTTGCCACCTGTCGTGCACTCACGTTTCTCATCTGCATACCTGTCTGGCATGGTGGAGTGCACAATGCCGACTGCCAAGCTGAGCACATCATCACTCATGTTGTCGGAGCTGGAGCGACAGACGGAGAGGAACCTGAGCGTGAGTGGGCCCTCATAAATCCTTTCGCATACTTCACAAGAGAGATGGGAGAGGTGGCTCGTCTGAATTTCTTGGAGGACAAGTGCGACTACTTGGCCTATGAGAAAAATATCTGACTGGGTCCGCATATTTTCTGAATCAATAGAAACTTGACTGACCTAAAGTTTTAGTGTATTCATTAGCCAAAAAGCTGTTCATCGCTAATCGAGAACGGAAAACCCAGCAAGATAATTTCGAAGTGCTGTGTCGCAACTTGAACGATCGTCCTCCTGAATGGGAGTCAATAATTTCCGCATGGGAATCTGACGGACGGGCGGGGACCATGCGCAATCCTTACTTGCGTCAAGGTGACCGTAAGTGTTTATATAATTCAGATGAGAAGCACCGTTCCAAAACTTCTCTAAGGACCTCTATCTGTTGCCGAGGCAGCTGCTGCGCTGAGCAAACAGGAGTTGGCTGAGGCGAGGCAGGACACTATAATCTCTCATTCGGTTAGCAAAGCCGGAATGCTGCTCCAAGCAATTAAGATTTGGACAACTCAGTGAGTTATATTTGTCTGTCTGTTTATCCACGAGTCTGATTTTTGTAAAGACATCTTATTCGCTATGACACTCGTTCGAACCTCCGTGCCGATAATTCCGATAAGGATGCCAACCTCAATTTAAACGAGAGGAGGCTAGGTGTTTTGACAAGCATCAAAGCCTTACGCAAGTTGCAGGCGACATTTTCCCCTGCATCTCTGCACTGTGTTGATAGAGGAAACGCGCTTCTTCAAGACTCAAATAAGCCTGATGTTCTTGCGGAGAATATCGTACTGTGGTTTCCATCGGATATGTCGGCCGAGTTGCAAAAGAATGGATGCACGCCAGGGCTGGCGGATATCGAACTGAAGCTTCAGAAAGCACGTGCGTCAGACGAGCTGGATAAGGTTCGGTCGACTCTAAATACCAAGGCTCAAGTGCTGAGGTTTCGAGACGGCAATGTTGTTGGTCAGAGGGAGGGTACCCGAGCATCGAAGTTGATACAACGATTGAGCAAGAAGGTGGATATGGCTCGTGACGCCTACAACGACGCCATCAGACGTATTGCGAGTCTAGGAGGTGATGAACTACCCAAGATGAAACCTGAAGATGTGACAATCAACGTGGTTATGTCTGAAGATGCGAAATCTCGA